AAATAATGTGGATTTATTTTAGTAAACGCTTCCTGATGTGCGTAAGCACACTTGATAGATACAATACACTACGCTGTCAAGCTTTAGTGAAGTATGGCTTTTACATCTTGGAGGCCTGGCATGCAGAGATCTTGAGTTCTTTCAAAGTATTTTAAAAGGTTTTCTGTTATGATTACAAAAGTGCTGTGGATAAGACATTAACATTTACTATAGTAATGTAATTTGGGAGGAAAGGACAACCGTTGGGTGTTCTGTTATAATGCAAAGCTTCAGCTTTAATTTTTCTTCAGGCAAGGAATGTCTGCACCCTCTTCCCCCTCTTTTTAATTTTTAGAAGTATTTGGACATTGCACTTAACTGCTGACCCCCCCGCAACCGGGGCAGGTGTGCACGGGGTAGGATGCTCTGGAATCCACCGCTCTCTGAAGTCTGTCCCGTCTCTGGAGCTGATGGCAAAGTGAAAACATGCAAATTAGATGGGAAATGTTTGCACTCTGGAGACAAAGAAACCTGTGCAGGGTGCCTGAGACGTTGTAGTCGGCCTTTAAAATTAATTTGCAATTTGTCTAGTTGAAACCCAAATATTTGTAAGTTGAAACTACAGTGTAACTTTTTTTTTTCTCCTCCCCTGGGTAGCTGACCCAAATAGTGACCACGAGAAGACAGAGTTTGTGAATCTGGTGCTGCTTTTTTCTGAATTCACTCGACATGATGTTTTCTCCCACGATGCGTACATGTGCACTTTAATATCACGCGGGGACTTGTCAATCACTGCAACTACCAGACCACGTTCACCTAGTGGGGAAACTGTGGATGAACACTATTCGAAGGACCATGATGTGAAACTGGAGGTAACACTTCATGCTATTTCTCCCATGTTTGGTACTCTGTTTCGTTAAATGTAGATTTTCACCAAAGCGTTAGTATTTCAGGTAAGAGATACTAAGTTTTTAAACCTGTGTCTCCTCGTCTCTTTCTCTCTCTTTGAAAAGACCAAAAGTGATCCATTAGCTTCATTCTTGTTTATAGCTGTAAATATTGCTGGGTTGGTGCAAGTATGCTGAACTGACGGTTGTCTGGCGAGCTAAACTTGGGACTTCTAAATGTACCAGTGGAAACACTTACTTGCAGCTGTGCTTCAGTGAAGAGAAGGGAGAGCTTTAAGCAGGAGGGGTCAGTGGAGTAAGCGCCACGTCTCCTGCGTGGCATGGGGCGTGCTGGCCCAGCACGGGCGTGAGTGAGGCGCAGCCTCGTAGTCTGCTCGCAGACCCTCGGGAGCTCACTGTGTGCCCCGTGGCCGCCGGCTGCCCACTGTGGAGCCAAACAGCTCGTACGTGTGCGGTCCAGGCGCCATCCCGAGTCTTCCATCAGATGGGCGGTTTGTAACCTTTTCTAAAACTAGTGCAAGAGGAAAGCAACTTTAACCTCAAGGCTGCAGACGATGTTTGTGCTTGTGTGGTGAAAAGGAGCCTGTTCTGCTGCACAGTCAATGCGGAGCCTCTGGGCAGCTAAAGCATCCTCTTATATTTCTTTTTGATTTTTTTTGTGTATCTCTTATGTTGGTCACGTGGTCAAATTTGCCCTGAAATATAGGGGGTTTCTACAAGTTGCCTTTCGTGGTACAACAAAGTAGGAAATAACTCTTGGGAAGGTACAGGAGTCAGCTTCCGATTCTGTAGGTGTCCCTGGAGCAGAATGGCTCATGGGGATATACTGTAAAGTTTTGTTTTCCCCTTTGGCTCCTGCCCTTTTCTGCGTTTCTGTGGATTTAGGCTTGAGAAATACTTCTGTGAATTAAGGTTTATCATAAGGATTAAAAGTCAGTATCTGAAAACTTGTTACCATCATCACGCTTTTCTTAATTCTTAGGCAGAGCGCTCAGGTTTACCTGTGATCAGTTAGGTCGGTCTTCAGTACAATCTGGCTGATCTTTGTTTTTCTCTCTGGCAATTATTAGGATCATAGTATTATGGAACATATGGGCATTGACTCAGGAACCACTAGTATTTTTGATGATGTAGACAAGAGTGACTTTAAGGCAGATTTTGGTTCGGAATTTCCAGTAGGTTTAACTTTCAATTTTCTGCATGCCTATGCCTGTGTCTGCTGCTCGCGTTGGCCGCTGCATGTCTCCCCGTGCCCCTAGCACCATCCTGCTTCTTCCATCGACAGCCGGTGTCCTTTGGTATCTGCTCCCTGCTGTCCCCTGTGTCTGTGCGTCACCTCCCTGCTCTGCCTCTCTGCTGTGCACAACTTGCTGCTCTCCTGTGCTTCCCCTAGTTGCTGCCTGCACACTCGCACGCACGCTCCGCTCTCCCTCCTTCCCTTCCTCCCCCGTGCCCCCAGCATACTCAGAGTGCTGTGGATTACACTTAAGCATGAATAAATACGCAGAGCTCTCCACTACTTTGACATTGAGGAACTCCATTGAGACCATTTGCTTTTCAAGCGACTGTTCTATGTTTTGTCGCCGTCTTCTAAATCTGTTTCCCCCTCTCTTTCCTTACTGTTAGCCTCATTCTCTGTTACTCTTGAGTATCCTAGTTTCTTCCTTTGGACTGGTCCTCGTTCTGCATCCGCAGATCCACTTGCAGGATGCTGGGACCCCCGTTTCTGCCTGACATCTGTCATGTTGGTGGTTTCAAGCATATTCATGCCTGCCTACAAGTGTCTCTTGTCACCTCCCACTTCACCCTTTTCATTGTTTTACCTGAATCGGTGGAATATCTCATCGTGGTTTCTGTGTCACAGCAGCATAAGAAGTGTGGAGATTGCTCTGAATCGTAATGCTTTTTCTCCTGGCTGAATGCCACAACTGTAATGCTTGTCTAATAACAATGGAGATGTGCATGGAGATATAATGTGTATGTGTATCTTAAATTTCAGGCTTGGTTATCATTGCCCTTGCTTTGTCTATCTTTGGAAAACCTCAGATGTTTAAAAAGTAACTGTAAGCAAGAACGAAGTCGTATCTCTGAATGCAGTCGCTGAACGTCGAAAGCTAGAGGTTACACTTACCTTAAACATTTGTTTTACATGACTTAGATTTTTTCTCCGATGCCTGGGGAGTCTTGTGAGAATGTGAACTCTTCTTTAGACAGAAGAATTTCAGTTACCAGCGAGAAGTCGGTCAAGAGGGAAAGACTGAGAGACCTGATTTTTCCATCCAATTACGACCTCCTTCGCCATTTGCAATACGCGACGCACTTCCCTATCCCTCTGGTGAGTGACCCCTCTGCTCGGGAGCGCAACGGTGCTGCCTGCCGTGGCAGCAAGGCACGTGAAGGGAGGGAAGCTCGCCGTCCGAAGGGCGCGGGGCTGCGTGACCCCTGCCCGAGGGCTCCGGCCGGGTGGCGCGACGCTGTTGCTGCCGG